GTGTGGCAGCCCTGCATCATATATCTGTGGGAGTCAAGCCCAAACTCCTGGGGAGACCCGTGACAGAACTGTGAAATTGACCGGTGCTCCTACCTGTCAAGCAAACTCCAGATTGTAGACTCCCCTGCCTGGTGTGATTCTCTGCCTGAGATTCGCAAATTTTTCTGCTATGAGCAGATCCTTCTCCCACCAAAGAACAGACAAGGGGTGGTTTGCTTAATGGCTTAATGTTCACAGAGAGGTTCTAGGTTCCGCAATGGCACATGCTTGAGGCCTTGGCAGGGCCGCCGTCTGAGAGCCAGGCACGGGAGGACATCGCCTGCGAAGACGTTGTGCCGAGGTTCCTCATTCGCCGAGCTGTTAGCTGCTCTTCTTTAGCCACTCTGCTCTACTGGTATGTCGTGGCCCCGCGCCCAGTTCGTACGCTTACCTTACAGGCTTTGTCGGCGCGAACACCCGCTGCCATATTGAGGCCGAAATCGACGAGGGTGAGTCTGGCGGACACTTCGACATGGCGCGCCCGACAGCGCCTTCAGCCATCATGGCCCTCAAATCTTGACATGCCAGCCGGAAACGATGGCTGTGGCTAACATGCTTCTGTCCCGCTCAAGCCCCCTACCGGTAACGGTACGCCGTCAGACCTCGAAAGCTTGAAACAGGTGCGGCAGCGGCTTCTCGAGGCTTTGCGGTCCTCGCAAGAGGCAAAAGCCACAAGGCACCTGCTGGAGCAGCAGGAGCGATGAAAGGATTTCCCGGGACCACGATTTACGATTTGGCTAAACGGGCAGAGACCCCAACCCCGAAAGACTGGAGAAGACATCCGACAAGTTGCTGTGGCGTTCAGGAGAGACTGCGCAAGAAGCTGCTGTGGAGTCTGCAGGTGGCCAAGGCTGTCGGCGCAGTCTTGCACAGCTTCATGAAGAAACTCTTCTTCTGTGTCTCTGTGTCTGGCAGGGTAAGAGAGACCGGATCGAGAAGAAGGCTCCCTGCACAGTCGGGAAGAAGGGGATTGGCACAGGATGCAGACACTTGATTCGACTGGTAGCAGACATGTTTGCTCGCAACTCGTCTATCGGGGACAGATCGAACGCTTCCGCCAAGCGCTGGTTGCCACTGATCCACCTGCTGGGGAGGCGCGAGCGTTTGTTTGGTTTCGTGTCCGACATGGCCGCGATTGGCTGCCCGTGCTGCAGGATTCCTTCCAAGAGCTGGATCTGGTCAACGGGCAACGGCCTCAGCCAAGTGCATCTCACTGCATCTCGCCTTGGATGCTTCACAAGGCTGAAGGAAGGCATCCCGCTGCCTGTGGATCCGTCCGTTTCTTTAGCTGATTCCTCGGAAATGGGTGCGATGGTGCGACGTGCGATGACGCTGAACAAGGGGATGTGCCGTTCTACCGCAATTGCCAGGTTGGTATCTTGCCAGAGCAGCCGGAGCCTCAACCTGCAACTGAAAGGCTGAAAGGGCCGGCAGCCTGCTTGATCCAGATCTGAAGACCTGAACCTCTGAGAGTTCAATCGCAAGTGGCACCACCGGCACTGGCAAACTGTCCGCTGACCTACTTACAATGTGCAACTACTCTGCAAGTACTGCGCGTGGCGTGACAAAGCAAGGCGGGCATCGTCCCAGCTCCGCTCCTCCCACACGTGGCTGTCGCTTCCTTTTCACCCCATGCCGGACCCGAGGAGAAAGCTCCAATAGTATTAGGAAATCAACGCAGAGCGCACGAATTGGAGCGACCGAACACAGCTGCCTTGGAGCTCCACATCCGTGTAGGAGAGGGCTTCTGTTGTCACAGAGGAGGAACGACGGTCTCCCAAGGTGCTTCCTGCTGAAATCGGCGATGAATCCAGGTGTGCTCGCCTGCCAGGCAAGTGCAGCAGCCACGTGAAGCAGATGCTGCCTGCTGTGTCCCGTGATGCCAGTGACTGTGTGCATTTCAGGTTCGCCCGTCGTCGAATCCCCAAGGCCAGCGAAGCCTCAAAAGGGCCAGCGGCCTGCAGAGCTCAAGCTGCAAAGACTTGGGAAGTTATTTGGACATCAGGTCATGGTGAAGGAGGGTGACGATCTGCGGCAAGACCAGCCGGGGATCTTGGTGGTTTTTGTGGATAGTTCGAGCAGATATTGGAATTGCACGGTCTCAGCCTGTAACAGCCACTCGACATCTCCGTTTTCTGAAACTTGTGCTGACTCTACGGCGGTTTTGTTTCTGCTTGTTTTGCCAAGTCCACCACAAAGAGCAGGGAAAGAAAACGGGCTGGGTTGACGTCTAGGATTGAGGCTGGTCCTTCAGTTGATCATCCTGATGGATTCGATCCTGAAGAGATATGGCTTCGGACTCAGGTTGGAATGAGCAATCAGTAAACGCATGCTGATCTCTCGCAAGGTCTGGACCTTCAGTTGACGCCCTACCAAGTGATCGTTCCGTCCTTAACTTGAGCATAAGATGGAAAGCAAGGGCACCACCATCTATTGGTGATTCGCTTCACACAGAACTCTGCGTTCATGGCCGCACAGCCACCTGCAGCGATCCTGCAGCGTGCCCTGCAAGGCCCTTTCTCGCAACGACGGGCTGATCGACTTTGCTGCATCCTTGCGACTTCGAGCAGGTCGGGATCTGCACAGAAGAGCTCGGTTCTGTCCGAGGTTCCTGATTCTTCCAACCTGTCCAAAGTGCTTAAAGAGCACAACGGGGTCGCTTCCTCTGCCGAGACGACAGAAGCTTCACGTTGTACCAAAAGTCTGTGACAGTTATGATGTCCAGAGAGCTTCCGTTCAGCTCAGCTTTGTCTGGTACCAATCCTCCGGTGCAGGATGCGCATCTCTCTACCGTGTAGTGGTCATCATGCAGCTGGCTTTACCCTCAGTAAGGACATCCAGCAGTTCTTCCGCGCCCATCATCCCGTGGCAGTCCCAGACAACCAGTTTGGGGTTTTCCTTGGCATGCATGCACAAGCTTGAATCCAGTTTGAGGCTGATGCTGGCGTCCACAAAGGCCAGAACAAGGGCGACGACGCGTGGTTGCCCCGGCATCCGGGATCCACGCGATCAGCGGGACGGGCCTGCTAACACGATTGCTCTAGGAGCGGCGCGTGGTGCCCACAGAACTCCTATGGCATCAAGGCCGAGGCCGGGTGGGGGGACGGCGGGCGGGTTGAGGGCTCTCAAAGTGCTCTCTCCCAGCAGGTGCTGGAGAACTTCGCCGCAGCCTGAGCGCCGTTTTCTCTTTTGTAGCTGCATTTGCGACCGTCTGCTGTTGAGGTCCGCAGCTGTGCAGGCTATTGTGCAGCATGCTTAGAGCGAGTGAAGCCAGGCCTGCCTTACTTGCATCCTGTTCTGACGAAGTGCGAGAGGTCATCACCTACATCCTCGGTATTGGGGACCGTCACCTCGACAATCTTATGGCCGGGATCGCAGAGCGTTGACGAACACATGCCCACACGTGAGTTGGGGAAATCAGCCAGTGGTACCTCGGAACAAGTTCCATAAGGCGTAGAATGTCTAACTATGATCGGGACGCGTTTGTCAGTTGCCGAATCTTGATGTGAGTTTCGACGAAAACCACCTTCATTGTGCCGTCATCGAGCCGTGATGTTATGCTGATACGCTGTTCAAGTAGCCAAGCGGGTTTTGTAATCCATGGCAAGCAGCTTTGAGACACCTTGGCGGCACTATCATGACCAATCACTGCCACTCACCCATGGACGGTTTATTCAGTTAGGTCTGAATGAACGGATTGACACAAGCATTCTTGGCGTCAACGGACAACATGCGACAACGGAATGAAACCAGGTCGGACCACATGTGGAAGAAGCTGCAGAGCTTCAGCTAGCTTTATGATTGTCCATGTCCGAGGTTGATGTGTCGTTGTGTGTCGTGGGTTCTATGTAAGAAGACATACAGCAATGTGTCTGTGAAAGTCTCGCGGCAAAAAGTCCGCGAAAGTTAAGTACAGCAGCCCATGGCCAGCTTGTGAGCAGGTGTTGCCCAAAATGAACCTTGAGACCTCAACGCCTCAAGAATCCCCGACGCCAAGAAATCTGAAACCTTCAAGCCCCAGGCTCCAAGCATGTCTTTCGGAAATTCCCCAAAGGAACCTCATCAAAACACGCAGTAACTGGCATTGCCCTCAACTTCAGGTCACCAAGGACGGCAAACTCTTCCACATTGATTTCGGATTTATCTTGGGTGCCGGGCCTTGCTGAGCCTGTTTCAAGTGCATTGCACCCCGCACGCTCCATGTGAGGCAAAGATCCCAAGCCATTCCCGCCACCCATGCGCATCTGCAAGGCATCGTCGTCCTGTATGTTGTTGCGCTTGGTGGCATTGTCTTCTTTCTGTACTTTCCCTGCTGTTCACCGGTTGTCAGATGCCAGGAGATGGTGGAAGGCCTGTTTGCGTCTGACATCCACTGTCGCATGAGCACTTCTCATTGGTGCAAGCAGGGATGGGTGGTAATCCTTCGCCTGGGTACCAGTCCTTCAAGTCCAAATGTTGCGGGGAACCCTAGCACAAAGCATCTGCACCTCTGGTTAGTTATGTTAGTTCGTTGTCGGCGTCTTCCGAAGGGTTCAGTGAGTCAGTCAGTGTCAGTCAGTCAGTCAGTCAGTCAGTCCTACGCTGCGCGGCGCATGGACGGGTATGGTTTGATGCACCGTGCCATACCAGATAGCGGGGTGGGGGGGGGGGGGCATGTACTCGTCTGGCTGCTTCCGGTTGCTTCACGGTGGCCATTTCCTTCAGAAACCCATTCCCGTCTCGATCGGCCTACTCGCCTCACGTAAGTGCTGGTAGCAGGCTGGAAGGGCTCCAGCTATGAAGCCAGATACATGTAAAGAGTGGTCCAGTGGAGATCTTAAGACCTTGCCAAACACAAGCAGCTGGCGTTGTACGAGCATGTCAGAAGTGGCATTGAAGCATGCGCCGTGTTCGGAACACGGCAAAAGATAGAAGGTGGAATGCCAGTAATACGACATAGACATCGGTTTTGGAAACCATCCAACTCTACCCATACATGAGATTGGAATAAGCAGAGTTATGTAAGCATAAACCTCCATATGAACAGGAAGTGAAGAGTGCTTCCAAGCTTCTTGCAAATCAGTAAAGCTTGCTTTTGTTCTCCCTGTGCGCGACCAAGCTTGTGTCGGGGCAAACCTGTGTGAGTGACCTCCGCACCGAGATAGTTTATGCCAGGTGTTGCTCGGCGTTGAACTGAAGTTGGTTGAAACTCGTCCCAATGAAGCTCCATACGGCCGTATAACTGACCATCGGAAGTTGCAACAGGTAACGGGTCGTCATCTGCATAGACAATCTCCCTTTTCGTATGCGACTGCAGATGTACTCGCCTCCCCTCCCCTCCCCCTACCCTCCCCTCCCCTCTCCCCTCCCCACCACTCCTCCACTCTCCGTCTCGGTCACTCTCCGTCTCCCTCTCCCTCTACCTCTCCCTCTCGCTCTCCCTCTCGCTCTCGCTCTCGCTCTTTCTCTCGCTCTTTCTCTCGCTCTTTCTCTCGCTCTTTCTCTCGCTCTTTCTCTCGCTCTTTCTCTTTCTCTTTCTGTTTCTCTTTCTCTTTCTCTTTCNNTCTCCCTCTCGCTCTCGCTCTCCCTCCCGCTCTCGAGCTCTCTCGCTCTCTCGCTCCCTAGCTCTCTCGCTCCCTCACTCTCTCGCACTCCCTCGCTCTCTCAAACTCTCTCTCTCTCTCT